CGCCGTCGGCTTGACAGCGACGATGCAAACACGATCGAACGATCATCATCTCGCGTGTTTAGTCATCAAATCATATAGTCGTTAATAGTATCACTTATAATTAGTCATTAGTCATCTGTTGCTCATCAACTACCGTCAAACCTGTGGTAGTGGCCACCTGTATAGAACAGCCACTCGCCGTAAAGCCTGTCGCATTAACCTTGAGAGGCAGTTTCATGGTGAAAACCACCTGTATAGAACGACCACCTGCCCATAAAGGCCACTTTGGAAATTTTGGCCGTTCCACACAGGTTTGACTGTATAGTTATAGTCTTCTCATAAGGATATATGATTCTGTAATGCCTTATACACTAGTCTTTATACGCTATATACGCTTATAGTCTTATATGCTATATACGCTTATAGTCTTATAATGCTATATAGTATATACGCTTATATAGTGCTTATATGCTTTATACACTTATAGTCTTAACTTATATGCTATATACGTCTTATATACTTATAGTCTTATATGCTTTATACGCTTATAGTTTTATACCGCTAATCAATAACGACATACCAGTGTCCGGTCCAGCAGTCGTGTTCGTCTGTGCAGCGCTCTCAGCCGTGAACTCAGATGAATACTTCTCCACAGTCTGGCCCACCATGAGACTTATCACGGCAAAGGTTCCTGAGAATGCAAGCAAGCAACCGCACGTGCACTCAGACGCGTGTTAGCGCACGCTTATTATACAACCGACACCCTGTTCATAATGCACACTTCTTGGCCGTTTCTCTTGAGTAGCCAGTTATACAATAAAAATCACTTCATATAGGAAAGGACACTCTACGCACGTACGTGCTTATAAAATGGATACTCTTTGGGGTTGCCTTTTAATTGCAGTTATAGAGTGAACACACCTCTATAGAACCACCACGTATAGAACACACACATCTACAAAGGAAACCTCCGTATCCCTTGAATGTGCCTAATAGTGACTAATTTTAGGAAAACTTCTCGGTTGAGAAAACGCTCAAATTTCTCCTTTGCACAATTCAAGCGTCTACCAAGGCAGAGCCCTTAGAGAAGAATATGCAGGAGGGCCGCGAATGATAGGCGCCCTGCGTTACCCTTATTCGTGCTCTTTACCCATGGAAATGTGTCTGGACCTTCCAAAGATGAAGTAGACGAGAGGCCGTGAAGAAAGACACGTAGAGACCATACACCGGCGCCACGACGCCAACATTGCATATCCCATCCCCTAGAAACAAGAGAACAGCATGAGGCATACATACTCGATTTAATATTCAAAAACCACACATCTTTTCTTTATCAGTCACAACATCTTATATATATTATATAGTATATATATAATATAATTATATATTATATATATATATATATATTATATATATATATACTCATTCACAAGTATGGATTTACATAACATCGGCACATACATAATTCATGTTAATTAATTGATATATACAAACTAGTGGTAGTGTCGTAGTTTCGGACTACGGATACACAATTAGACAAAGAAGCTCGCTAGAGTATGTGACCAAGTATCCTTTACTCAAAAGAACCCACCAGTGCATCACTGTCGTGCACAGTGCTGCCATCTATCGTGAACTATAACATAACGATAGACAAACTATGCGAATCCCCTTCTTTCTGAAGCGTTAAAGATTGAACTTCACTTTCACGAATATCAGTACTGTGTAAAAAACAATGCATCCTGGCTTCACAGCAAAATGTTCACAAGCTCTAATCTCTCCTGTGGCTTCAACTTTTCTGGCCTGATCGACGAATCGCGGAATAGCTGGAGGCTGAAGTGCGTCCTGGGATATGCCTCTCAGTCAGGCAGAGGAATCAGGGCGGGAATGGGAAGCACTGCTGTGCATGCTCTGAATGCGCATATCTGCCCTGGACCGCTCGCTGAAACTCTCAGCAGGTAGCAAGGATTCAGGCGAGGAGCACTGGTGGCATGCCTCTGATGCGCCATATCTCCCGGCCGCTGCTGAAACTTTCCCTGTAGGCGCCAATTGCGACGATTCCGCTCTGAATCTGCCTTCCATTTGTCGCCACAAACAACTAGCGAGCGTAATATGTTCAGCTGGTTTACACCGCACTCCAGTTCCCCAGTGATGGCCTGTCGGGGATCTATGTACCACTCCCCACACAGAATCCACTGGGTGGAGCACAGATTTAGTGTCTGTAGAGGGTTTGCTCATAGCCTGCAACTTCTGTCTTCTCCCTGCCTCGTCTTGTGTAGCATCGCGTAGTGTCCATGACTAAGCACGGGTGTGCATTGCTAGCTCGCGGTTGCTGGAAGATTTGCCTGGTGACTCTTGAGTTGAAGCAGCTTCTTGCGGGCGATGGAAGTGTAGTGCTGCTAATTGGTGTGCTTCTGTGAGGCACAGCAATAGCAATGTGGAGACTGTGTTCGACTCCTTGCATTTCTGCAGCAGAGCTTGACAGTTTGGCACAGTCCTCTCTATTAAACCATTTGCCTGTGGGTAAGTATGGACTTGTGGGGACACATGCGGTCAAATCCGTAGGTCTCACTGAATTTCTGGATAGAGCTGGAGGTAAACTGGTATCGCTTACCTGAATCGACTTGCTGCTGAACATCTTCCATACTCCTCAAAGATCGACTCAATGTGAGCGATTTGCTGTTCAGAACGAATGTTGTGCTCAACTTCCTGACAATGGGAACTTGCTATAGATAGTCTGAGACCAAACAATAGAAGCTGACTTTGCCTTCCAGAAGAACAAATCGGATGCCAGTGTGCTGCCATGGCCTCGGTGGACATGTCCATTGGCATGAGGGGTTCCTTCATATTGCCTTTCTGCGTTGTGCTGTACATGGAGGCAGTCCTTGACCATTTCTCTATGATCCATTGCTGATATTGTGCCCAAAAATACGGATGCCTTGGCACGAAGTTGTGCATTTTTCTCAAGCACCTGGTCCGCTGCGTAGTGCAGTTGTTCTAGCACAGCAAGCTGTAATGCCTGCAGGGAATGACGATGCGACGTGCTGCCCTTTCAGGAACTATTCGTCTGCCCAACAGTCAGCTCGTCCCGATAGTTTCCAATACGCGCATGCAGGGACTTGTAGGAACAACATCTGAATCTCTTACTAGGCAGTCCCTGTACGTTGCACGTGAGGTCTGAGAGAGTGCAAACACGTCATCCTTGCTCTGTTGCGTCTTTGATCTCGCTCATCCCCGTCGTAGGGCTTAGCATTCAGTGTAGTGCAGCTCGTTGAACAGAAACATCTAGCCCTGTGTAACGTGGCACCTCGGGGCATGGGCTTATTCTCCGATAAGGCGTCGGCTAGTGAGATATGCCTTCCAGCGGACATACTAACTTTCCACGTCGTACTTCTGTAACTCGCGAGCATCATCCTAGAGATACGAGGTCGGCGCATGGAGAGCGTGTTTTCTTGAATATCGCCTCAGCGGCTTGTTGATCTGTCTCTACAACAATCGGTGGTCGTCCATACCGTAGTAGTGAATTTCTCAAGCACTGCTACAATGGCCTAGCATCTCTGCTCTCGCGATGTTGAGTATCGAGTCTCTGTATCAACAGGAGCTTCTTCTGTGTACTCGACTGGGCCTTGTCCTGAATCAAGGTGCCGCCAAGGCCACGTGCGAGCGTCGACACTGAGATAGTCACCGGTTGCATTGTCGGAAATACTGTAGTGATTAGACAATGAAATCATGCTTTTGATTCGTGTCTACGGCAGGACTGATGAGCTCTGGGCACCACTGCGATTCATCGCGATCTCTGTCAATCCATCAAGTTGGGCCTGCGCATTCAGCGCAGTGTTTTGGTATGAATCCTGCTCAGGCCAACGCATCATGCAAGGACGTCTGAGCTGTCTGCAAGGCTTCTTTGACCGGGTCCATGCCGTTGATTGGCTTCGACGCTTCTTAGGATCACGGGCCGCGAGTCGCATTTGGCGCTGATGACTATTGCCAAAAAAATGCTGATCTCTGTGCATCGAAATTTTGCACTTTATCAGCATATGAAACACAGAACCTGTTTCCAGCTGCGCGCTTCATGACGGCTCTTAGCTTCTGTCCATGGTCACTATATACTGTAGCCATACACGATGAAATATCGTCGCTATATCCAGTAACACCAATGGTAAATCCCCAAAGGTTTCGTCTCTATCTCTGGAAGCATATCTTGCGCACAGATCAATCCGAAAGCCGTAACTCGAACAAAACGCGATCTGCGCCTTGGCTGTATATGAATGTTGTGTTACCAGCGAGCTCTCATGTCTAACTTAATATTCCAATATCCCCCTGCGATGCGTCCCACTATTAGAGAAGTTACCTTGCTTCGCTGAGCTTAGGAAGAACTTCATCTATTGTTGGTTGCCTACAGTGTGAGGCCGCTTGATGGCAGAGCTCAGAATCCTGCGGTCCTAACCACAGTCGAAGTGCACCGTTACTCTTAGCGACACATACTAGGGAGTTGACCCAGTCTGTGGGCCTCATCCACCTTTTACTATGATTCCCTGAGCTGTAGGAGTCCAGTTCTCTCTTAGCGGCTCACGTAATGCTCTGGAACTCGGCGTGGTGGATGTATCACTGGTGGCACTGTGGGCAGAGGGTGATCGTGAAATTCGCCTTTGAAACACCGATGCCTTCGAAACAATCCTTGTGTTGACGCAGTATTCAGCTTTAGCAGCAGGATCACCTGTAGGCGCGCGTGTAGCTGTCGTGCTTTGTTGCGTACGTAATGCTGTAGTTCAGCGTAACTAGCTTCATATCCCGGCATGTAGAAAGACCCAAGATAGTTGGTCCATCAGCATCAACTACATGGAATGGGTATGCAGAACTGCTCAACTCAAGAGTCTACCAGACCAATCTTCCAGCAACGCGAGCAGCATGCACACCCGTGCCTAGTCGATGGTGACACTACCCGCATGCTACAAGAGAGGCAGGCAGAAACAGAAGTTGCAGTTATGGACAAACCCTCTAGACACTATCTGCGGCTCCCACCCAGGTGATTCTGTACGTGTTACTAGATACCCCACATTCCATCACTGGGAACCATGGAGTTGGTGAAAATCACTATACTCGAACGAGTTCTTGTCCAAATTGCGATCGCGTAGTCCGAAACTACGGACAGTAGCCTAAATTCAATGACAGGCGACGCGTTACCGCGGCGACGTGACGAGACCCGTGTTCCCGTTGCAGGTACCGGCGAGTATTCGTCCATCGAGGTCGCGTCTGCCGTCACCATTGTCGCAGGCGTCATGCAGCTCGCCATGGCCTTGCTGCGGCTAGGTAGCTTAACGACTTACCTGTCCGAACAGCTCGTTAGCGCGTTCACGACCGGCGCCGCCATGCACGTGTTCACCTCCCAGGTAAGTACGCGAGCGCACACGACGACTGCTTCTGAAATTGCGCCAGTGTTCCCGCCGTTTTTCACCGATTAGCTGGGGCTAAAAACATGGGCTTTAATGCCTATGTGAACCTTCAAAAAATACGCATGTTAAACCTAGTAATTTGTAGCTATGTTAATTTTCAATCATACGCATTAGTATAAAAGCTTATTAAATACTCTAGGGTTAGAGAGTAGGCGTAGGCGACTCCCTAGACTCGTGACGTTAGTGGAGTAGGCGAGGTACGGTCCGGCATATTAGATAGTACCAGGGTACGTTCCGGCAGTACCCTGGGGGACATAGACCCTCTCAGCTATACTAGATCGGGTTCTAACATTTAACCTTCGTTATCAACCACAGGTGAAACATCTGCTGGGACTCGAGATTCCCAGCTTCTCCGGAGCTTTCAATATTGTCTACACGTACATCGAGATATTCAGCACCATCGGCGACGCGAACGTGGCCGCGATCTTGACGTCAGTCATATGCGTCACCTGTCTCTTTGTCACCAAGGAACTGCTTGATCCCAGGTAGCCACTGTTTACCTGTTTACTTGTGTATAGTGATTAGATTACGAATGTTTGCCATGTAGTGAATTCTAGCGGAAATGTATCTGGATACTAGTGTAGATATGTTCATTGGTTCTAGGTTAATGTTGTTTACTGTGTAGTGGTTGTCTGACCGGTAAATGCCGTGTGTGTAGACTGTAGATGACTTCACGGCAGTGGTGTAAATCTGGGAGGGGGCGTTGATAGAAACATCGTAGCTGTGCTGTAATTATGATACCCCGCAAACGAAGTTTGAAGGGGGAATATAGGAGTCATCTGGTGGTCGGGTGGGTGGGCGAGCGGTCGGTCGGTCCTTTGCAAAAAGTTTGTGGCGCGAACTACTTCCACAGTTTTCAAGGGATTCCAATGAAACTTCACACACGTACACACGCACGCACGCACGCACGCACGCACGCACACACACACACACACATACATATAGTAGATATACACACATGCAAGCACACATGCTGCATGTGTTTATTTTAGAAACTATTTCTTAGAAGAAATTTACTCAGAAACTAATGGGTTTATTTTCGCTGTTTCTTCTTTTATTCTTCTTGCTCGGTGTCCTTCATATATGCTTGATCACCATGAAGTGTAGTTGTGCGTGACATATTTATATATGCTTGATCACCATGAAGTGTAGATGTGCGTGACATATTTATTTTGTGTGTGCGTCGGTCAAGGTGTTGCCATGGAAACACTATCTCATCTTGAAGGTCCACATCATGACCTTCCATTTCCCTTCCGACAAAGCGGTATTGTGGGGGTATTAATCACTATCAGTGATAGTTGTATCTAGTTATCATTATCATGTATATGACTACATCATTGCCGTGTCGTCACAGGGCGCGTCCCGTCATCTTGATGCCCGTCCCCATGGAACTGCTGCTGCATGGTCATTGTTATTATCATTATATCATTATCATTATATCATCATCTTTATCGTTATATGACTACATCATTGCCGTGTCGTCGCAGGTTGCGTCCCATCATCTTGATGCCTGTCCCCATGGAACTGCTGCTGGTGATCGCTGGCACGGCCATGGCCTACGTCTTCGACCTCAACGAGAACTTCGGCCTCAGCATCGTCGGCGACATCCCGACGGGTCTCCCCGCGCCGACGCTGCCCCCGCCGGCGCTCTACCAGCGCGTCTTCAGCGACGCCATCACGATCGCCGTCGTCGCGTTCGTGATCACCGTCTCGATGGCGAAGATCTTCGCGAAGAAGCACGGCTACACGATCGACGCGACGCAGGAGCTGTACGCGATCGGCGCCGCGAACGTCGCCTCCGCCTGCTTCTCCGGCTTCGCGGCGTCCGCCTCGCTGTCGCGCAGCGCAGTGCAGGAGTCGGTCGGCTCGCACACGCAGGTCGCGAGCCTCATCTCCGCCGCGATCGTAGCCGTCGTGCTCGTCGCGCTCGCGCCGCTCTTCGCGACGCTGCCGAACGCCGTGCTGTCGGCGATCATCGTCGTCGCGCTGCGCGGCATGTTCCGGCAGTACGGCGACCTCGCGCGGCTGTGGCGGCAGCGCGACGTCGCCACCGTCGACCTGCTCATCTGGCTCGTCACGTGGACGGCGACCGTGTTCCTCGACGTCGGCATCGGGCTGTTCGTCGGCGTCGGGTTCGCGCTGGTGACGATCGTGGCGCGCTCGCGCAGCCCGCGCGTCGCCGCGCTCGGCCGCGTGCGCGGCACCGACCTGTACGCGCGCGTCGGCAAGCGCGCGGCGGCCCGCGAGGTCACCGGGGTGCGCGTCGTGCGGCCCGAGGCGCCGCTGTACTTTGCGAACGCGGAGTTTGCGCGCGAGGAGGTGTACGCGCGCGCGGGCGTCGACCCGGTCGCCGTGAAGCGAGCGCGCGATCGCGCCGCGAAGAAGCTGCGCGGGGGCGCCACCTCTGCCGGAAGATCGCACAGCCTGCTGAACGGGGGGGAGCTGGCGGACAAAGTCGCCGCGGACATGGGTGTGATCAACTCCTGCATGGAGCTGGATGCATTACAGGTGAGGACTGCATGGAGTAGGTGTACGCGTTAGAGTTGTGTGAAAAGATGAGCGAGAGGAGCGGTGTGGAAACATTCAAATGCTGAGTGAAATAACCCGTGACCAATGGTATATAATATACAAAATATATGTGTGTGTGTGCGTGTGTGTGTGCGTGCGTGTGTGCTTGCATGTGTGTATATGTGTGTGTGTGCGTGCGTGCGTGCGTGCGTGCGTGCGTGTGTGTAGATAGATATAGACATACACACGGACATCACACGCTACCACTCCCGCTTACACCACTGATTCTGCTTGCAGTTGGAGAGTGCTAGCAGCGAGGGATCCGTGGACATCCTGGCCGCGGAGGAGACGGAGACGGGGACGGACGTGCGCGTCATCGTCATCGACTGCTCGATGGTCGGCTACGTCGACTTGTCCGGCGCCAACCTGCTCAAGCTGCTTCATCGCGAGTACGCAGACGTCGGTATCACACTGCTGCTGGCTGCGTGTGCGCCGGACGTGCGCGCCGTGCTCGCCCGCGCCGGCTTCCACGACGCAGCGCCACACGGCGCCCTCTACGCGACCGTCAACGACGCCGTGCTCGCTGCCAGCGCCTCCTTGCCGCGCAAACACGTCCCGGTGTACGTCACCGACTACTTATAGGTGGCGCTGCAATGCAACTGCAAGCAGTCACATGTTGTTGACTATTTATAGGTGGCGCTACTGCGCAATGGCAAGCAGTCGTATGTTGTTGACTATTTATAGGTGGCGCCGCCGTGAATGTGCGACTAGTCGTATGTTGTTAACTACTCATAGGTGGCGCTACCGCGCAATTGCAACCAGTCGTATGTTGTTAACTATTAATAGGTGCAGTACCACGCAATTCCAACCAGTCGTATGTTGTTAACTACTCATAGGCGGCGCTACCGCGCAATTGCAACCAGTCGTATGTTGTTGATTACTTATAGGTGGCGCTACCACGCAGTTGCAACCAGTCGTATGTTGTTAACTACTTATAGGTGGCGCTGCTGTGCAACTGCATCCAGTCGTATGTTGTTGATTACTTATAGGTGGCACTGCTGCGCAACTGCAACCAGTCGTATGTTGTTGATTACTTATAGGTGGCACTGCTGCGCATATATAATATATATAAGATGTTGTGCTGATAAAGAAAAGATGTGTGGTTTTTGAATATTAAATCGAGTATGTATGCCTCATGCTGTTCTCTTGTTTCTAGGGGATGGGATATGCAATGTTGGCGTCGGTGGCGCCGGTGTATGGTCTCTACGTGTCTTTCTTCACGCCTCTCGTCTACTTCATCTTTGGAACGTCCAGACACATTTCCATGGGTAAGAGCACGAATAAGGGTAACGCAGGGCGCCTATCATTCGCGGCCCTCCTGCATATTCTTCTCTAAGGGCTCTGCCTTGGTAGACGCTTGAATTGTGCAAAGGAGAAATTTGAGCGTTTTCTTCAACGAGAAGTTTTCCAAAATTACGTCACTATTAGGCCACATTCAAGGGATACCGGAGGTTTCCTTTGTAGATGTGTGTGTTCTATACGTGGTGGTTCTATAGAGGTGGTTTCACTCTATAACTGCAATTAAAAGGCAACCCCAAGAGTATCCATTTATACACGTACGTGCGTAGAGTGTCCTTTCTATAGAAGTGATTTTTATTGTATAACTGCTACTCAAGAGAAACGCCAGAAGTGTGCATTATGAACAGGGTGTCGGTTGTATATAAGCGTGCGCTAACACGCGTCTGAGTGCACGTCGTTGCTTGCTTGCATTCTCAGGAACCTTTGCCGTGATAAGTCTCATGGTGGGCCAGACTGTGGAGAAGTATTCATCTGAGTTCACGGCTGAGAGCGCTGCACAGACGAACACGACTGCTGGACCGGACACTGGTATGTCGTTATTGATTAGCGTATAAAACTATAAGCGTATAAAGCATATAAGACTATAAGTATATAAGCGTATATAGCATATAAGTTAAGACTATAAGTGTATAAAGCATATAAGACTATATAAGCGTATATACTATATAGCATTATAAGACTATAAGCGTATATAGCATATAAGACTATAAGCGTATATAGCA